GGGGGGGGAGGTACTGACATATATGGGCTATATAGGTATGTGCCGCTGTGAAGGGTATGGTTTTCAAGCAGTTTACTCTAGGATAGGGTATATAAATCAGAGCGTTTGGGTCTAGAATAGGGTATCATTTTTCAGGAAACTGATCAGTTGGTTGAAGATTTTATCTAGACTAGGGAACAGCTACTCTAGGATAGGGGGATTTGGGGAGTTTACTCTAATATAGAGTAGCAAAATTCAGCTGAACTAGCTCTGGTATAGGTTAAGGGTTTCAGGGTCCCAGCGGCACATCCCCAACCAGAAATTCCTAGAGTACCCCCCCCCCCCGGGACCAACACACAGTCGAGTGTTGATTGACATGTCAGCCAGTGTGTTCATTGGCATGGGGGCTAAGTGTCAGCTGACATAAAGGTGGACACGTTGACTTATACTTGGTCTGTATGCTGGCCAACACTTGGTCTATACCGCAAGTTTTACATTACAATGAGCTGTTGGCAGGTCCTATATTGTAGATTGATAGGGGCAAAGCTGCCAAAGAAAATTGATGCCCAGACAATGGAAATTTATAATAATAAGTAGACAGGAAATGTAATCCCACAATAACAGTTGACTATGCAGCAATAAAGTATTGGGTGGATGTCAGTGGGTTATTGGTTGACAATATCAGCCAAGTCTCGTCTATTATGTTTGTGGGCATACCGTATATAATTATGTTGGTTAACTCTCTGGGTTGACTTATCAGTCAATACAAATTTAACATGTCAGTTTAGCTGACATTAGTCAACTAACACTCGGCCGACTTATTTCAACCAACATATATCAACAGAGACTTGGTCAACATGTTGACAGATATATAGTCAGCTAATACGCCGACCTAGTATTCATCACTATTGGCTCACGTCGCCAATAGTATACTCAGCTGAGGGGTGCCCAAATTACACAATATCCCAATAGTTGATCTATCCTTAGCTTTTTCTCAGTACAGATGGAATTTTTTGTTTCTTATTCACTGGGAGGATGGGACACAAAGGTTTTATCCCCTAAAAGTCTTAAGTTTTGAAGTGGAGAGATGCCCGTGAAAGTACAGCGGATATAAGTTTGTTGACAGTTCTCTGAATCCTATATACTTCAAGAGGTTTTTTGCCAAGCACTCTCGTTTTCCTTTTTCCTTAAAAACCATCACTTTTAAATTCCAGTAGCAGTTCAATCTGGAATGCACAGGCACTTTAAAATAAGTTTTTGAGGGCTATAAATAAATCATTCAAGAAGAAACAAATCATAATTACATTTTTTTTTGCTTTTTACATCATATTTGCAGTATGTGTAGTTAGTGAGGGTGATGTAGTCAGTGTAGACGCATGGTGCAGTAAGTCTAGTCAATTATTTGGTTGGTGGTCATTGGTATGGTCACCAAGTTAACTTGTATATTAAGGAGGTGTGCAGTGTGGTAGACCTTGAAGTCGTAGCTTTGAAAAAATTTGTGTATTTAGTGCCATATTGTCAAGTGGTTATACTGAGTTGGTCTAGTCATGGTTAGTGTAGAGGGTCTTAAAGTCAGCATTCATGGTCACTGATGTAGCTGTTTTCACCATTTTTGGAGGGTATTGTAGGTGTGTTCAGTGTGTTAATGGAAAAGTTGGTGTAGACCATGTAGTCGGCAGTCCAGTTAGCCAGCATAGTCAATGTTGGTTCCCAGATATGATCTCAAGGGATTCTGGCCGGAATTGACATGGAGGATCTTGCACATGCCATGTTGGACCAGAATGTGTGGAATAAGATTGTTCGGAGCATCCTGACCGAAGGGGCTGAATGATGATGATGATGAGATGGTGTTGCTAGACAATATATCATTGTAGTCTCAGAAGTCCAGAAGTCACTTCTCTAAACTTTCTCCAGCTATGACACTTACTCATGAATTTTTAACTTCTTGGCTGCAAAATCTGGATTGCCAACGAAAAATTAAAAGACTATCATGGTTCTATTATGGACTATTAATGTTCTTGCTCGGAAAAATCTCAATCTCTTCTAAATCTGTAGACCGAGGAAACAATACGTATCAAACTATTTTATTAAGGGTCACTAAGGCTAAACTTTCTGTTCCATAATTGTCTCGTACTGATTTCTCTATGAAGAAGACTTAAAATCAGCTACAATGGGGCAATTCTTTGGAATAGTTTCCCACTGGATATGTGGTTAAATGCATGGAACTCTTGAAAAGCAGGTTATTTTGTTCTTAGTTTTACAAAGAGTTTCACATGTACATAGATATGAAAATGGTCATTCCTATTATCATGATGAGTTTATTGTGCTGAAAAGAAGATTACTTTTAATAGTTTTGGTATTAGCCAGTGAGTCCCTTCTCTTAGATCCACCACTGGGCAGTATTGCCATTGAAGTCTGTGTAATGTTGTTGGGGGTGGGGAGGTTACTTATGTCCCTATTCTGAATTTCAAAACCAGTCATTTTGTGTATTGAGGAACAAGCCAAATTGCTGTTGGAATTTTACTAATGTATTAAATTTTGCTCTTTTCTCTGTCACTGTCGCTGTCACAGTTTCAATCCATCTTTCTGTTGTTTGTCATCATTTCTGCTGTCCTATGTCACTGTTTCCAGGCCACGTGACTTGTCCAAATTTTACCCTAACAGGGCCTCATTATACTGCTTAGTACACCAACTACACTGATTATGACTATACAGCTATACTAACCTGTGTAGTAGGCACTAGGAAGAGATAAGCGTGAAAAAACAAAGCGGACCTTTCCTTTTTTGCACCCATTTATTTTTCTACAGCTATACTAATTACACCAAATGAAAATAGCTTTTTGCGGCATCCATCATAAAGTTTTCAATCCCTGCCAGCTTAACCTATCTTTACAAGTGCCTATACCCTGCACTCCCCATCCTTGTGACTACAGTCAACTCTCGCCTTGCGGACACCCCGCTTTAATGTACACCCTGGTAACATGAACAGCTGCTAAATCCCAGGAAAAACTAAATTATAGACATTTGACTGAAATATGCTCCCACTACTATGGACCCTATCTAATAAGGACACTAATTTAAGGTCCCTGGTGTGTCCGTTTTAAAGGGAGTTGACTGTATTTACTTTCCTCTCCAACCTTTGTCCCATCCTAACCTTCTGTTTTCCTACCCACCATGCAACCTGCATGGTAGGCACACTGTANTACTTTTAATAGTTTTGGTATTAGCCAGTGAGTCCCTTCTCTTAGATCCACCACTGGGCAGTATTGCCATTGAAGTCTGTGTAATTTTGTTGGGGGTGGGGAGGTTACTTATGTCCCTATTCTGAATTTCAAAACCAGTCATTTTGTGTATTGAGGAACAAGCCAAATTGTCGTTGGAATTTTACTAATGTATTAACTTTTGTTTTTTTCTCTGTCACTGTCGCTGTCACAGTTTCAATCCATCTTTCTGTTGTTTGTCATCATTTCGGCTGTCCTATGTCACTGTTTCCAGGCCACGTGACTTGTCCAAATTTTACCTTAACAGGGCCCCATTATACTGTTTAGTACACCAACTACACTGATTATGACTATACAGCTA